TGTCAAATGAAAGAATATCGCCAGTTTAGATCTCTCTTACATACAGGTAATGCCCTAATACATCTTTTCTTTATTGGCTTCTTTTTTATACTATCATGTAGCAATGCTACTTTCTTCTCTGTTTATATCCATTTCACTGGCAAATTAATCACCGACAAATTAGAATCATCCCTCCATCATCTATCTATTCCCCCAAAGCTTCCACTTCAACATGGCACCCCAACTTCCCGAGCAAGGTTGCCGGTATTAAATACATGGGGCCTACATCTTTTGTAGTGGGGTACATGAATTTAATACTRGTGTGGAACCTCAGCTTGCTGAACAGTTAAAGCGTTCAACCAATCTGAATTCCAACTTCCCATTCTCCGAGCGTATGAGGAGGAAGTCTTTGTTTTTAGGAGGTGAGGTCAAACGGTGGAGGAACAAAACTGTATGGGTACAGGTTTTTTAAGAGGTGTTGAGGTGAGGTCAAAATGGAGAAGGAATAAAACTGTACAGGTAGAAGTCAAAATGGAGAAGGAATAAAACTGTACAGGTATAAGTCAAAATGGGACCATTCTTTAACCAGCTACCTAACCTTTGAAAGCTTTCATCATTAAGAAAACTGTGCGACTGAATAGCTAGTGAAGACTCTCTTATCACTAGTTATTAATGGGTCAGCTACCTAAAACCTTCAGGGGGTGAAGCAAGACTTCTGATTGTTTGTTGGAAACCTAATTCATATAAATGACTTGGATTGTGTTTTATTGTGATGAGTTATCATTCGGACAAAGGAATTAGAGAAGAGAGAGATAGATCAAAGTCATTTTGATTTTTCGGAATTAGCAATTACACCACCCCTGTACAAAGAGAAGTTCGAAGAAGAGGAGGAGGAGGAAGTAGAAGAAGAACGTTTATTACCTGCATTGATGCTTCTCAATGGTCAATAGAGGCAGAGTTTCTCTCGTCAATTGAAATTGAGAATGAAGGATGTTTCGATCGACCACTTTTCGAATTTTTGTCAAAATGTATTGGGAAACCGAAAGCCCAGATAGACCGTAAGCTTCAGTTGGAGCTTCTCAAATCTAGACCATTTTAAGCTTTTAGAGTCTTTTTGAGATATTGTCTTTTGGTCTAACGAGCTTTCTCGAGCCAAACAGAAAATACCATTTTTGGTCTATCGGATTTCTAAAAGCCCAAAAGATCTTTCAAAAAGATTTGCCAAACAGAGTCTAAGAAAACTGAGCAGCTGAGTAGTTAGTGAAGATTGTTCTGAGATCATTTTCTTCAATTTGGAGACAACGGTCCCCTCTGAAGCTGATCAAGGTCATTGTGTACTATTGGAGTTTGGCACGCTGTTTTTTGTCCCAAAACACTAAAAGAGCTCGTTATCTATTCTACCTTGAATTTGATGAAGACGATTTTGATTTTTGATTCGTGAGTGAAATGGAATCTAGAATGGACTCTATTGCTCCGATAAACTCTATGTTCTTCAATAAAAGGCCATTTTGAGCAAGTTGATTCAAGAGCCCTGACTTAGGGATAGAGGCCTTGCTCTTTTGTTGCATTGAAGCTCTCACAATCTCTATTGACATTGTATGCGATAACCATCGGACGCCTCAAAACCCTCTTAACTCTTATCTTTTAAGACGAATCTTTTAACTTTAAGAGAAAAATGATTGTTCGTTTCCTCTTATCTCTTGTCTCTTAAAATGCAATAATACAATTTTTTATTTTCCAATGATACCCCAGTAAAATGCAAACAAAAACTCTCATATATGGGGTCAAAATGGAAATGTGATAATTTTCAGAATTTAGGCAGTGTTTGGCATCGGTGCCATTTTTTGAGAAAACGGTGCCATGTAGGCGCCATGTCAGAGAAAACGGTGCTGGAAGCAACACCCTCTTGTTTGGTACCATTTTCTCAGGAAAATGTTGCTCTAGACCACGCCTCGGAAAGCGAGAAAGTGTGGTCTAGAGCAATGCCAAATTTGATATTTTTTGGGAAAACAGTGTGTTGCTGCCGGCGATACAATGATGTGGCATTAATGTGGCATCATCTTGGACATTGGATAATAAGATCAATGTTAAAAACGTTGYTGCCAACACTGGTACCAAACAAAACCAGTGCTTTTTTTTCAAGAAATGCCTATGTGGCAGCACCGATTCCAAACAAAAACTAAGAAAATGGTACTAATAACTCCACATACCCAACATTGTTTTTCTCAGAAAATGGTGCAATGTTCCCAGCACCGATGCCGAACACCTATTAGAACAACATCTTTTGCATTGAGAGTTCAGAAGAAATAAAAGTTCACAAATACCAATATAAATCTTAATATAATTATTACACCATCAGATGTTAGACTTCAGAGCAAACAAACAGACCCAAATTCCACCCATTATTACCTATGGGCTCAATGGCTTGGACTCCTTTTGGTTACGAGACTGAGTTTCTCTGAGTTCCTTTGGTTGTGCTTTCTATGCGCATTCTCTATTGTCACCGTCAGCGATAAATATACCCACACATTATTACTTCTAGGTTCAATGGCTTAGACTCCTTTCGGTTATAAGACTGGAGTTTCTCCAAGTTCCTTTGGCTGTGCTTTCCTACGCATTCTCTGATGTCGCCGTCAGCTATAAGTATACCCACACACTGTTACTTCTAGGTTTAATGGCTTGGACTCCTTTCGGTTATGAGACTGGGCTTTCTTCGAGTTCCTTCGGCCGTGTTTCCCTATGCATTCTCTGGTGTCGCCGTCAGCAATAAGTATACCCACACGTTATTACTTCTAGGTTCAATGGCTTGGACTCTTTTCAGTTATGAGACTGGGCTTTCTTCGAGTTCCTTCGGCCGTGCTTCCCCTGCGCATTCTCTGTTGTCGCCGTTAATGATTAGTAGACCATCTTAGTTCTTATGAGCATTGCACCTATGCCAAGTTATCATGTAGTAATGCTACATGATAGGATTTTTTTTTTGTTTATATCTTCATCGATAATAGGATTTTTTTGTATTATTATTGAATGGAAATATCAATTGCTTATAGCTTTTAGGGAAAATTCCCGATTAGTACCTTTACTTTGGGCATAGTGTCATTTTGGTCTTTGAACTTTAAAATGTGACAATTCAGTACTTGAACTTTCAAAATGTGATAATCCAGTACCTGTCATTAACTAGTTATTAACCGGTCGTTTAGTGGGATTTGAAAAAAAACACAAATGCCCTTTGAGTGTCATCTAATTTTCTTTTTCAATCATCCAAACATTGACAAAAAATTAACAGTCCCAAATCCTTTCCTCTTCTATTCAATAAAGTTGGGGTTACCAGACAAGGGTGAGTTAGTCAATTAGCTAAACCATAAGGGTACTTTAAGAAATTTACTCTATATTAATTATGTATATATACATTTATAAATGAAAAATTTTACATATTTTCAATTAATTTTACTCTTAAATTGGGCCATAAAGCCCAATAAAAGATGACTATATAAAAATGTAAGCATAATTCTTTCAAATCCGACCAACTCAATCAAACTTAACATGGCATGAGCAAGAGCCCAACTCTAATTGTGTTAGGTTTTATGTTTGAGTTGGGCCTGGGTTGATAAACTTGGGCTTAATCTTGGGTTATGCTAATCTTTGGCTGTACCTTTAAGACTGGGCAATGGGTTGACCTTTAACCCGACCCACCCAACCAAATTGCACCCCTAATTATGTGTTGGTTTAGGATGGTCATTCATTATCTTTTTGTATTGGTTCAGCTTTATTTATTTCAATGCTTGTTTACCAAAAAAAATCTGAAATATTCTAAAAGATTTTGATTGGATGTAAGGTAGGTCCGGTAGGGTTTTTATGATTTGAGTTGGGTTAGGGTTAACCTCAACGGCTCAACCTGACCTAATCTGGCCTAACTCAACACCCCTATTGACCCATTGAGCTTAATTAACCAACTAGGTCGATTTTCAGTTTAGGCTAGGCTTTTTTTTTGGTAGTTCTGAAGAATGTTATACAAGGCAGGGCATTTCATGACCCCAAAAATCAGAAAAGCAAATTATAGAAAGCTCTCGGGTTAGGCCTGGATTGAAAAAAATTAAGACTCGGTTTGGAAGGAGTACAAATGCAAATTTTTAGGGTGCAAATACATACAAAATAATACAAAGTACAAGGTTTTACACTACAAATTTGCATTTATACTCCTTCGAAATTGAAACTAAGGGAAAATTTCTGATTAGTACTCTGTATTTTGGGCCTAGTGTCACTTTGGTCCTTGAACTTTAAAATGTGACAATTCAATACTCTAACTTTCAAAATGTGCCAATCTAGTACGTGTTGTTAATTAGTTGTTAAGTGGTATTTGAAAATACACAAATTTTCTTTGAGTGTCATCTGATTTTCTTTATCGATCATCCAAATTTTGACAAAAAATTAACAATAACAAATCTTTGCCTCTCCTATTCAAGAAAGTTAGAGTCACCATAATGCCTATTGAGACGTGACCCTAACTTTCTTGAATACAAGAGAAAAAGATTTGAGACTTCAATTTTTTATCAATATTTGAATGACACTCAAAGGACATTTGTGTCTTTTCAACTGCTACTTAACGACTTGTTCAAAGGGCATTTATGTCTTTTCAACTGCTACTTAACGACTTATTCAAAGAGCATTTATGTCTTTTCAACTGATACTTAACAATTTATTCAAAAGACATTTGTATCTTTTCAACTGCTACTTAACGACTTGTTAAMAATAAGTACTAAATTAACACATTTTGAATGTTCGGATACTAAATTATCGCTGAAGGTATTAATGGGGAATATCCYAACATTAGCTATGTTGGGATAAAGGAAGAAAAACTTGACCTCGAGCCCATGTATTGGAGCCCAGTACATGCTACTGGATGTAGGTTGACCAAAAAGCCGGCCCATCCCGCAGCTTTTTGTAAGCTCTTGTAAGCTCCTCCAAGGGCCCATGTGGTTCCGGATCTCCTACAAGCAAAATACTCTGCTCATATAACATCTAGCCGTACATTGGAAATATCTTCCCGGGGAGAGATGTTTCCACTTTCCACTTCACAACATGCGGCAGGATTTCTCATGCTTTCAGAGACTGTGTGCAGTGTTTACTCCCGAAGCAGGAATTCCGTCGCCATGACTCGTGAACTTCAACTGACGTTTTTCCTTTCGAATTCGTCCATTACCCTATTGCGCGTTCTTCGTTTCTGCGCTAAATCGCAGACACCAGCAGATCATACCTCATTAAAAAACAGATTTATTTTTTTTCACTGAAACCCAAACCCTAATTTTTCGTCTACTCATTCTCATTATTCTTTATAGTTTATACATGGATTTCTTCAAAACCGTATTCTCAGACGATCCAGAACCAGAACCCTCGGATAACAAGAACCAATCGTCGGTGTCGGGGTCCCCTAAAAGAGAACCGGAGGCAGAAGCAGAAGGGGATTCAGATCACGAAGCTCTACTAGAGGAACACGATTCAAATCCTAATCCTAATACTGATTCTTCAGTAGGTTCTGGTTGGAGTTTCGGTGGCTTCATTAAAACTTTCGCAACAAAATCTGAATCAGTTCTCCAAACGTACCGTCGTGATTTAGAAGAATTCAGTTCTGGCCTTAAGAAGGAGACAGAGGCGATCCGTGAAGCTACCAGTCGCGCCGTAAAGGAGCTTCCGGCGTCGATCGAGGCCGGAGCGTCGGCTGCACAGGAATCGTTCGAGTCAGTTGGGCAAGCCATTGATGTATTCGGAAGCACCGTGTGGCGCGGGACAGCAGAGATCATTTCCCACGGTAAGGATTCACTTCTCGCTGCTGAATCTGAAAGCGACTCTTCTGACAGTCAACATTTAAATAATCAGGCCTTGAGTTCAAGGCGGTATGGTAGATTCGAAGCGCAGGTTCGTGCAATTCAGATCAATTTGAATACTTACTCGGAGGAACCCGATGATTTGGACGACTTCAATAAGTGGAAATCTGGGTTTTTAATTGAAGAGATGGCCGAAGAAATTGAAAAATTATGCAGTGACAATGGGGTTATGGAGGGAATTTATGCGAAGCTTGTTCCCAATGTTGTTGATCATGAGACATTTTGGAGTCGCTATTTTTACAGGGTTTACAAGCTTAAGCAAGTGGAAGATGCTAGAGCTAATCTTGTAAGGAGAGTAATTTCTGGTGAAGAGGAGGGAAGGTTTGAGTTGGGACGTGGATGATGACGATGGCGAAGAAACCAGTGCATCGAATTTGAAGACTGGTACCACGGAGAATAAAGCACCAGAGAAACCTGTCGAGGAATCACAGGTCGGAAGTTCTGAGGTTGTTTCTGAGATGGAAGAGAAGAGAACTGACAGAGAGGTTGGTGAGAGAAGCCAAATTGTGGAATCTGTTAGTGATAATGCGTCTTCTGAGATAGTCTTGTTGGAAGGAAAGGCAGACATGACTCGATTTCATAGTGATGAATCGGTTGCCAAATCTGATGAGAAGATCAGTGAAGGGAAGGCCGACCATGGTGAATCTTGCAAAGACAGTGACTTTTCGGTTGTCTCAAGCCAGCCATTGATGCCCGAGGAGGAGGACATTGGATGGGATGAGATTGAAGATCTTGGCAGTAATTTTGAGAAAAAAGTAACTGTAGGTGGGAGCCCCAATAGAACTGATATACTTAAGCGGTTTAGTGCTGCAGATGAAGAGGAAGATTTAAGTTGGGACATTGAAGATGATGATGAGCCTATTAAACCATGATCGAACTGATACTAGGATAAAAGTGGTTAAAATGCGTTTCATTRTTTTCTGCCCCCTATGGGAATTCTTCCAGGTGTTTATGTGCATCTTTTGATTATGGTTGTTTTGTCAATTTTACTTCGTTTATGATAGTGGGGATTGGATTACTAGCACTTCTTTCAATTCTCTTGGTTGTTCAATTTGGAAAAAAAAATCATGGACATTCTTCCTGTCTTTAGCAGAGATTGAGACTCAAGCTGGGGAAAGGGGATAGATTGCTTCTTTGGAAGGATCCTTGGTGTGGGCAATCCACTCTCTCAGATCAATTCCCACAGCTTTTCCAGATTGCAGAACCCCAGGATGCGTTTATCTGGGAGTGTTATGAAATTAATGAAGGCTCTGTGATCTGGTGCCCTTCCTTCAGAAGGAATTTTCAAGATTGGGAGATTGAAAGCTTCACTGAACTTCTGGAGCTGATTTCCCTTCAGTTTCAGCCCCTAGATCGACTTGTGGAAGATAGCTGGGTATGGAGTTGGAGTTCAGATGGCCAATTTTCTGTGAGATCTTTTGTTAGACATTTGTCTAACCTCAGTCCAGCGGATTTCCCAGCTGCTAAAGTTTGGAATTCTTTAGGTTAGACAGATGTTTAACTAAAACACATTTGTTAAAAAGAGGTATGCAGATCGAGGGATTAGTTTGTATGCTATGTGGTCAAAATCAGGAAGACAGCAGCCATCTGTTCACCCATTGCTCTGTCTCAACAAAAATCTGGAATCACTTTCTTTCAGTACTGTATATTAGCTGGGTCATACCAAGCACTGTGAAGGAGCTGCAGGGACTGTCAAAGCTTGCAGGAAGCATCTGGGAGACCATTCCGGCTGCTGTTATTAGCTCTATATGGACAGAGAGAAACAAAAGGGTTTTCTGTAACACTTTCAAAGATTCAGAAGATCTTATTGCTTTTGTCTTTGGAAAACTCCTGTCTTGGGTCTCGGCTATCAAGGGGTTTTTGACCACCCAATTGGGGGCTAGGATGGGTTCTGGGGATTTCTGGAATTTGTAATGGCTTGAAATCCATGCTGTSTCAACCCAAAAGATATTTTTGGGGGGACTCTCTTGTATTATTATCTCCGATTTAATAAAATTTTACCTTACCTTTAGTAAAAAAAAAAGCAACCATAACAACAACATTACAAAAATAATATGACTTCTGCAAAAAACTGGTTACTGTTATTGAACTTACCCTGTTAATGTAAAACACTTGGACTAGTTGGTTCTTTGTTCACATGTTTGTAGTCAGTTCTGCTTCATAGCTAAGATGGAAATTTTAACTCTTCTTCTAGTGGGTTTGGTTTTTTGTTCAGAAACTCAGCAGGTTCCTTTCTTTTTGGTAAATGTGGCAAGTGTAAAGTGATTTCTGCTCTGTGTGCTGTAGTCTTTGCCATTAGACAGTGTTATTTTTCTGCTGTACAGATGGGTTTTGAGAACATTGTGGTGGAAWGTGACAATGTCTATTATTAGAACCTTAGAAGCTAGATCTTTTGAGCTCCATCTTCGGGTGTGGGGTTTGCTGCATGATATTTATAATCTGTTGCCCAGTGTTAGCTCCTTCAGTTTTTTGTGCAGGCAGGCTAATGGTTCTGCTCATGTTCTGGCAAGCAAAGTGCCTCTGGTGTGGAGGCTAGTTGGTGCTCTCCTCCTAGCTGGCTCGCTCCTTCGATCTTGGAGGACAGCAGCTCTTAGTTCTAGTGTTGTTTGTTGTTTTTTCTTTTCTTTTCTTTCCTTTCTTTTCTCTGTTTTCTCTTCTTTTCTTGTCTGTTAGTTGTTTCACTACCAAAAAAAGCATTGTAGACAACAGCAACATGGCTTCTACCAAAAAACTAATTAGTGTTATTGAACTAGGGATGAAAACTATTTTTCATGTCAATAGGTCGTGATACACCAACATTTTCTTTTTTGTTTTTGCTATATATATTGTATTTCTTTACAAGGTTTTCACCATTCAATTATGGTGGAGTTTGTTTCCACATTCTTGTATGCTGTGTTTGGTTGGACATAAAAACTGTTGCAAAAAAGTTATTTTAGAAAAATATAATTTTCTGCTGTTTGGTTGCCAGTAAAATACTAAGGGAGGCAAAAAAAAAAAAACTATCCAAAACTAGAACAGGTATGCAGTAAAATAATTTGCCTCATTTGAGAGTGCAAGTCATTTTACCTAGAGTCTTGGATGCTTCCTTGAATCATTCTTATTCAATAAAACTTTTGATTTCATGGAAGTCTCTCTTTTCCACCTAAACCTAAAATCTAGTGGTTCATCCCATTACCCTATTTTCCGAGTTTATTTCTAAGTTACTCTCAAACATTAGAAAGTTTAATAAAAATATTTATTTTACCAATTATTTTTCATTCCAATATTTTAACTGCCAAAATATTTTCTGGTATCCAAATGGAGCCATGATAACAGATGAGGTTATGATTGGCATCAATTTCTCTTGTTTCATAAGGCATGGGGGGTTGTTTGTTATTTGCATTTTTTTTGACTGGATCATTTTAGTTTCTTGCACAGGATGAAATCTTCCATTTTTCGATGGTAGAAGCCATTATGAAGTGTTCATTGCATTGATGTTTTGGTCTTGGAGATTGTTCTTTCATTCTTTTCATTATTTAATGATCAAAAGGTTGCATTTTCAGTTAGGAATACTTTCTTATTGCTTCTTGATTGGATAAATTACAATAGTGTTTTGTATTTCCTAAATAATGTGTCGTTTTCTTTACTGAAGGTGTTTATATTTTCATCCTACTGGCCATTATTCTACTGTCTATATTTTCATTCTCTTTGTGTATAAAATTCATTTGTCTTTCCCATGAGTATCTGGTGAAAATGAAAGGATAGTTTCACTGTGATTTGTACCATTGGGTATATAATTGTTCAATTATCATCTTTAGAACAATTTTCTGAGGCCTTCATATTTGTTCCAGAAGTTGTGATGTGCAACATTCTGATGGAATAACCCCAAGGGCATTGTTACTCCAGCAAGCTTTTGAGATTCCAAACTGGAGGTTTTTAAAGAAATCAGGTATTTCAGCATCTCTTGCCCTCTTTGATCTGTTTTGAATCGTTGCCCTGGTAGGGGTGCCAAATGGATGGGATGATCAACCCGTCTACTAACCATCCACACCCACTAATATCCTGTATTTTTAATATCTACATGGGCTGAGACCCAACCTAATCCACCCATTTTGACCCATTTGAATAGTTAAAACAATCTAAATAAATCATTATTGCCACTGCCCCTACCTTTTTGGCTCAAACAAATACAAAAGTTGGACTTCATTAAAAGTTTGATTTTTTTTTGATAGGTAAAAATTGAGGCGAGGGTGATATGCATGGCTTTTTTCATGTAGAAAACCCAAATGAATACCCTAACCAAGACCTTTTTATTTGACCCAATAGATGACTCAACCTATATTCAACTCACATCTGAAATGGGTGGATTATAAGTGGATTGGTTAGGTGGGCCAGGTGGGTTGAGTCTGAAGTTGCCACCCCCTAGCCCCTTGAAATTCCTGGGCCTCARACCGTGAATTGTAAAGTTTCAATTAGATATGAGCTACTCTGTTCGGTTGTTGGCTGATTTTATTTATACCTTGCTATCTGATTTTATGGTGGTAAGGAATTTCATTTTAATGAATACAATCAAACTCAGTGGACTAAAAATAGGATAGACATTCAGACATGTGTGGATTCAGTGTTGCTTCTATAAAAAGGCCATTATGCAATGTTGGTCCCAGCTACCCAGGTCTTGGGAGGGGTGGACCAGATACAGGCCTAACATTCTGCATTTTTAGCATGAAGTAACCAGTCTCAGACCTCAAACCTGTGTTTTCATTCTTGTCATCMGGTAGGCCTCTAACCCCTTCACAGTGGCGTTTATGTCTATTACTTTTTCTTTATTTTTTAATTGTCTTTCTCATGGTAAAAGGGTAGAGAAAAAACAAATGATTGCACTACCTAATTCTGCTGTAAATGTAGACTGGTCATTTTGACTTTATTCTTAGTGTTCATACCTTTTCCATTTGCAATTTAGTCCAAAAGCTCTCTTTCTCTGTTTTTGGTTGCTTGAATTTATGATCATCTCTTTTTATTTATAAATTACTGATCCCATTTATCTATGATGTGTTTCGTCTGCTTCATTTCTTATGTCTATTTGCTGTTAATTTCTTTTCTTTTACACAGTTTAGTTGATTTGTAACTCTAGTTCTTTTTAGTTTGCTATCATGTTTTTTTTTTTGCATAGTTTATACGTGGACTCTCTCTCTCTTTCTCTAACACACACAACAACAACAATGTATAAAAGACAATGTCCTCTCTTTTCCCCAATGATGGTTCTATTTCATCTAAAGGGTCCTCTTTGCTTGAGGCTGAAATGAAGGCCTCTATTTGGTCTTCTGACCTGTTGAAGATGTTTTCCCATGTGAGAAGGTTATGTTTTTCCCCTGATCAGCAACATCAAACATAGAATTTTAGTGACGGGAGAAAAATCATGCATTCCAAAAGATTGGAACAGAAGACATGCAGCAAAGCTGAAGGCTGACACACCTGCATCATAATGTCAAACAAGTTATAGATGCAATCTCAAGCCGGGTGTGCCTCACACTGAAACATCCTTTTTCACTCTTGCCCTTGCTAGAGAATCCACAATACTGTTGGGAGTTCTGGAGCTCAAGTGAAAGAGCAGTTAATATCAGTTGCTAAAACCTTTATTTCCCTGATCAAGTGCCTTAGGAGCCAAGGTCCCTGTGCCCCTGAGGATAGCAATGTGAGAAGGTCCACTCTTCCTTTCCATTCTGGGCCAGAAGTTATACCTTGTGCAGCTGTGAAGAAAAATTTCACCTTAGTCATGATTACCAATGCAGAAAAATAAACCTAACTTAGAACACAAATTTTGATTATCTCCTTTTTGAATAATGATCCTCTGACCTGTGTGAATTTTTTGCTATTAGTTCAAGCTCTGGTATCTTTATGGCTTACATGTTAAGACAATTGTAGTGAGGCCTTGTCATCCTGTGATCATTGTTTGTGTAATGTAATTTTGCAAATGCTTGATTGCAAAGTAGGAGCATTTTCAATTAGGTTTTATTCTTATTGGATTCTTTTATTTCTGCTTCTTTTTCATATGTAAGATGGGCAGCATGCGAGCTAGCCCATACAACCCTTGTTTGTTTTTTTGATTGGCTCCTGTTTTGTTGGCCCTTTAACCTTCTGGTAGCTGAACCAGCCCTTGTGCTTTAGTTTCACCTGGTGAGGGATAATATTTAGAAAAATGGTAATTATATAATTTCTTAATCTTGCAAACCTTACAAATCCGTCTTATATTACTAATTGTGGACCCACCTCAAATGAAACAATGTTCAAGATGCATGGTGTATAGTGGAATGGTGAAACAGGATTCATTTAGTGAGTTCCATATGGTTGGGAYAAGTCTTTGTTGAGTATTTTTGAAGGATCTAACACGACCTCATAGGTAGTATAGAAATGATTTTAAGGCTCATAATTAATGGATATGACACGGAAAAGAGCTGGCGAAACAGGATTCACGTGGCCCACCCCATATAGTTGGGGATTAGATGATGATGATGTCCATGATCATGATCCAACACAACCTCAATTTGTTTGTTTGGTACACATTCACCCATCTGGCCCATTACATAATTGGGAATTCAGGATCACTTCACATTCGTGGGTGGGGTCAAACAAGTGACTTTTGAAATTCTTCTTAGGGTAAATTGCTAAAACCTCTCCTGAAGTTTGGTAAWTGCATTTACCTCTCTTGAACTTTCCAATATAGTTGCAAGTAGACTCCCTTTGTTACAATCCTTTAACAAGAGGCAGAAAAYTATCCAAAATACCCATGAAATTACTATTGAGGTTGGTTTCTACAAAAAAACAAGAACAATAAAATAAAGAGAATTTAAAAGTTACAGTTTATCTTTGAGCAATTGATATGAAGGATTAGTATGGAAGGAGTACAAATATAAATTTGTAGAATGCAAAACCTTGCATTTTGTATTTTTTTTTTATGTATTGTATTGTATATATTTGTATTTGCATTCCTTCCAAACTGAGTCGAAGGGAAATTGGAAAATAAATCAATTTTAGA